GAAAATATGTCTATCAAAAGGAAATATCCCGCATTTCCTAAACGCATTGGTAATGTTTATCGGAGTCATCGCTCGAGGATAAGCAATGCCCACGCATGATGCAACATTATAAATGCTAAAAGTTTGTCCTGGATGGCTCATCATCCAGCTATCGATCGCCGAGCTGTAAAATGTCTGGAATGGCTTTAGAACCCCAACATCCAGGGGTTGCAGCTTATTTGTACAATGTGGTGGTATAGTTAATATAGTCACCCCGTTTTCTTTGCTAATGTCTATGGCCTCAATGGATAGATGGCTAACATGGTTATCCATTATTAGCAGAGATGGATTTTCTTTACAACTAGAAGTATGATAAAGTGATTTATAACCTGCACAAAACATTCGGTGTTCATCCATCCTCCCTTAGCAGCTAACCCTAGGGTTCCTGGTGGAGCTCCGTTTGTCATAAAGTCTTTAAAATGGACACGCGGGAAAATCATAGCCGGGGGATTAGCTACACCTGAGGCCCCAACTATACAACAGGTTGTTACAAGAGTTCCACGTTCGGCACTGGTTGCCTTACTGACTTGCCGAACACCTTTACAAGCAAACACCTTTTGTGATTTCTGTACTGTTTGCGTCCCGGTTTCATCTAAATTGAAAATTCTGGTTCCATCTCCAAATGCAGGATGACGCTGTAAGACTTCTTCTAGTTTATTAAAAAAAGACTCCACATTAAATTTATTAAATCCAGTGGCTCTTGATAAACTGCAGCCTTCTGGGGTTCTGAGTGCTAAGATGGGGTGTCTTTTTTGAAATCCCTTTACCCAGGCAAGGGATGCTGATTGGCACGCATGCCATTTCTCAGGAATATTTATTTTATTTCGGATTGCGCATTCATACACTAACCGACGGGTGTCATCTCGAGTGAGTCCATAAAACATTTTTGCACATGTAATAATATAACCACAAATTTCATTATCTTGCTCTGAAGTGAAAAATTGATTTACTGTATAGTTTGGACACATTCTAACATCAGGATCGTTTCTAAACTTTTGAACATATCTGGCAAGAGTCTGAAAAGACAAGCCTTTTTCTCTAGCGGCTTGACGGATACTCATTCCTTGTTGGACTAACAGAACAGCTTCTCTCATTGCTGTGTCACTAAATCGCCCCACTACCCTGTCTGTTTTATTCTTTCTTGGCATTACTATTGTCTGTAATAAAAATTATACCTGGTCAGTAATGCCGCTATGCAATAAGTAACACTAAGACATGCATTAGGAACACTGAGACACGTCTCACTGTTCCAATTATGACTAGTCTCAGTGTTCCTAAACCACATTTTTTATAAATACTTTTCACAAAATATTAAATCTTGAATTTACGAGCTAAAAACTATAGTCATGTGCTACCACGACACTAATAAACACTTCTAGTAGACTTACCTTGTTTAAATTGGTATTAACCAAAAAAAATTCTAATTCAAAGAGGGCTAATAAATTTCCTTTGTCACACACTAAACTGATCATCTGTTACTGCTTTTTTACTTTATCAACTAAATTGCATCTGATTATTGAGAGCCCTCTGTTGGTTGGTAGGGTTACTATTCAATGGTCTACATCATCCAAATACAGATACCTTTTGACAAAACTATCATGTCTCAGTGTTCAAGCCGTCTCACTGTTACTACCTCTCCCCTATTGTATGTGCTATATAATTAACAGTAATTTTTGCTGCGCATCCAAAAACGACTTTATTGTAGGTCATACATTATGTCAAAACCGCGTTATAGATATCTCTTAAGTAGATACTGCCATTTTACTAATATCGCCTTGAATTTACTTTTATGACAAATATAGAATTAATTTGTTTTCACCAGATACATTTAAAAAACTAAAATGTTACTGATTTTGATATGCAACCTAACCTCAAAATTGAAAATTTATAAAACAGTTATAAAAGTCTAAAAAAAACATTTGTTTAAAGTCTGTGTAAATGTGTAGTACCTGTTCGGTAACTGCATTCAACAAATCTTATAGAATTTACAAAAGAACCAAATAGTTCTGTAATACTGCGCCCATTTTGTGTTTATTACTGTTGAAAGAATGTTCCGGAAATGTTCTTAGCTAATATTCTATTTTATAAATTTTGTTCTGTAAACATTTTTTCAGCTTTTATAAAATATCAAATTGTTACTTGGGATTGTAAAAAGAAATATTTTCTGAAGATCCACGACAGAAATTAAATTTAAACATCAATTCTGCGGCTTAGCTTGCCATTATAAATACTGGTGATGGATATTTAGAATATTCAGTATTAAGGGAGTTGACATTACATTTAAATTAAGAGGATTGTTAATCGTGGACATTGCAAAGGGAGTAAAATAACTTTATATCACAATAAAGTTGCGATAATAATCTCCCTTCGACTTGTTAAAAATTACTCACAACGTAGAAGCAGGCAGCTATTAGGGTTTTGTAGATTGGCGTTCTCAAACATTTTCCTGTGAATCCACTCATTTCGCAACAAATTTCATTTCCGATCAATTTATGAAAAAAGGATGACTTGAAGAGAGTAAAATAATTGATGATTAAGAAAAAAAAGACTTCCACTGAGGATTGAATATTAATCTAAATTTGATGCCGTCAAAGAAACTTTCGACTAGCTCATCGTCTACCGGCTTCTTTTTGATTGGATGAAGACATTTGTGCGATTTAACCGACATCTATCTGATTAGCGGATAATTGTTTTTAAATTAAAGCAGTTAAATGTCCTTGTTTGATTGACGAAGAAAAAAAAACGTAGACGACTTTATTGACTAATAATGTATGTGTACAGGACCAGTCTGTGTGATTTGACGAATTGTTTACACAATAACCAAGTTAAAAGCTCATATTTAGATAAAACAAGAAGGACAAATGTTTTAATATAACGAAAATTTATAATACATTCTCATACAATTCCAAAGAATGATGATATTGTGGATCAGCGTCATGCTCAACTTGTTCATGTTGATATAGTTAATAAATCCACTCTTGTTACACAAAATACCATTGTAATCGTAAGTAAATGTTCTTAAAAAAGGACACTTACTAAGTTGCTATTGATTAAACTGGTGTTGTAAACTAATACACATATCATTTAAATTGCAATCATGTTAAACTATTTAAAAAAATTACTTTACCTATAACAACATGGATTCATTCGCCCAATCTTTTCACTCTTAGTGACACCATTATCCAAAAGAAAAGCGCTTTAAGACTAATACATAGAAGAGGCACAGCTTCAGACTGTACCTTGAAAATAAAATCAATCTTTCAGTTCCGTTAAGATTAAAAACACAGCTAGATGAAGAAGTAGACCTACTTGTGTCCAAGCAGCATGAGATAATATGCCACCTATTGTTCAGCTATCCTAAAGAAATAAGGGACATAATCTCTGCAAAAGGAAAACTAAGCAGGAAATGGCATCAGACCAGAGCTCCATCAGATAAAACCAAACCTAACAACACCACCCAGCAGTTAAATAGAGAGATAAAATGAATCCATTTGTGAGTTGACAAACGATAAATCCACTGATTATTCTCTGTGGAAAGCCACAAAACGATTAAAAAGGCCCACAGTGCAGAATGGTCCAATCAGAAATACAGATAGCAGCTGGGCTAGAAATAATATACAAAAAGTTAATAGATTTGCAACCAAATGAAGGAAACAAATTACCAAACTGAGCTCCTTCAGAGAGAGATGATTCATTTATCAGACCGAATTTTCCAAAGGAAATTGCAGAAGATATAAAAACAAATAATCCTAATAAAGTTCCTGGCTATGATGTAATTACAGGACAAATCTTAAAACAACTTCCGAAGAAAGCCATATTTAAACTTACACACCTGTTTCTTAGGGCTTAGGCGGCTACTGAGAGCGTCGGCAGGTGGCGGATGGCCGAACAGCCTGCAGCGATATTTCATCCTGCAGATTATCACCATATAGCCAATAAGGTGACGCTGATCAACCTCCCAATCCAAAGGTGTCATGTTATCCGTGCCGAAAGGATGCATGGTGGCGGGGGACCGCCACTGCAAACGGAGTCTCCCGACCTCCCGGCAGCAACTAGCCTTGGTGCGGCATGCCGGGCTCTGCCGTGGTTGACCACCCTTTCCCTAGCTACTCGTGGGATCTGTATGTAAAACGGACAAAAAAACAATGACGACGGGGACAATCCCCTCGATCGCCAGGAATCTGGCGATGAACCGATGAAGGTTTCTTCAACCCCATCAAACAAAGTCATTCCGGAGAAGATGGAGGATGCTTTACTTGCATCACCCAACTCTAACAGAAATGAAACTCAGGTGGAGAAAGAGAAGGCACCACTCTTCAAATAAACTCGAGAGGCACGCTAAAAGGTTCGCCGGAGCGACCAGAAAGCGCCTCAAAATGATGTTTCAGCGAGGCAGTGACTATCAATCCACCCTGAAGTAGACCCTCAAAGAGTTGGAGGAGAAAGGGAGCGATAAACCACCCCTCTCGAGTTCAACTAAACAATCTAGACAACCGGTGAGGGAAGAAACCCCACCAAAGAAGTCTTGAACCGAACGTCAACGCTTCGACGACAGCACTCCTAAAACGGAACTTAAAAAACTCCGTAGGGATGCTGTAGTCGAGCCGAGACGATCATTCAAGGCCGCGGCGGAGAGTGTTCGAGTGGGGATTATTCATCCAGAACATCCTGACGTCCAGCTTTCGAATGAACAGCTGCAAGCTATACAGATCCCAATCATGAGAACTGTAGAATAACAACCTGTGGACGGACCCCAAATCCGTTTCCAGGGCTGCACCCTCAGACCAGGTCATCTCCTTCTGGACTGTGCCGATGCTACAACGGCTCGGTGGCTAGAGGGCCATGAACAAACTTCGCCCATGGAATGACGCACGTCTAAAGTTGGTGCAAGGTAAGAAAATACCAAAGCCGTTCATCTGCGTGGTGTATATCCCTGACGATGTAGGATCCACCGGATTAACATGGGAGCAGGTAACAAAGCGGTTCAGGATAATGAACCGAGGCCTGAGAACCCAGAAGTGGATCTGTCTACACCGGGTAACCTCAGGCCAGCTGGGTCACACCTGGACGCTTTCCATCGACGATGTCTCGATGAGAGAGTTGGAACGGATGAACTTCCGGCCCTACTTCGGCTTCGGACTGGTGCAATGCCGGCTCCGAAACCGCAGAGGCGCAGCAGAGAGAGTGCCAACAACAGACTCTCAACAGATGCCGTCTGCTTACTTCCCGGGAGACTCAGGTCAAGACCAACCCCCTCCTTCAGCGATAGTGCGAGAACTAGTTGCCTATTGCAAGAGGAACAACAAGCAGCTCATCATTTTCACTGCTAACAAACATATTCGTAGATAAAGTTGAGAAAATGTTCGGATACAATCATGATACTATTACTCGAGAAGATAAGCCCCCTTGACGATCCAATTTCGACCACGTTTGCGCATGACGTCACCCGTTGACAACAATCCATCTTGTGGGCATGGAAAAGCATTACACTAGAGCTGTTTTAATCAATATTTTATGTTTATTTATTATAATATTGATATATTATTTTTATAATATTAATATATTATTAAATTAAATATTTTTTGGCTTGCCTAATCATCTTAAAATATTCCAAAACGTGTAAAAAAAGTATGAGCCAAAAAGAAAATTTCTGTCTATCGGTATTCACCATAATTTTTAAAGCAATTGCGCTATAGATAGGTGTTATTCCATTAGGGGTCGGATTAGAATATTTTTGAGTAAAATTGGTAAAGGAGAAGGGGTAAAATTATGGGGAAAATGGTAAAAAATTGCAATTTTTCGTAAAAAATCGAGTAATATTTCGTTTTATAGGTTTTTGGCTATGGACATTTTGATTGTATAATCCGTTTAATATTTTAATAGATAATTAGAAAAAGGGGAGGGGTAAAAATTTAAAATATTTAATAAATCGAATAGTCTCGTACTATTTTAATTTTAAAATTCATTTAGTGATTTAATAAAAAAATACAGGTAGGGATATAAAGGGGAGGGTGTAAAAATTCAAAATATTTGAAAAAAAATTCGAGTTAATCTTATTTTAGAGCTTTCAAAGTCTAGACATTTTCATTTTACAATCAATTTAATATTTTTATAAAAATTACGGATAAATGTAAAAAAGGAGGGGTAAAATTTAAAAATGTTTGGATAAACAAGTAATAAATCGTTGGAAGTATTGATTCGATTTGCACAGAATACCATAGTAAATGTTTAAAACAATGTTTTTAAATATAACATATAAAAAGATTTAAGCACGTTTATTTCTAAAACCCAACAAACCAAAAAAAAAAAAATTAAATAATCAATAATACACGCAAAACCGCTTTGCGCCGTATAGAACTGGCTGTTGCTGAGCCAGGTAGTCCCCCAGTGACGTCAGGCGTGCGAGAGAGATGGGCTGATCGCATGCGCGTGGGTTTATCTTCTCGAATAATAGTATCATGGGATACAATCATATTTTGTTACAAAAATTGACAATATAAATGGCATGACGTTTATTTCCATAGCATGCTAAGAAAATGCGACATATTTTTTGAAATATTGTACAATATTTAAGGGCATCACTCTTTTAATCCAAAATATATCTCGCTAATGCTAAAAGTTTTTATGTTTTTTAAATGACTAAATTTATGTAAATAGACCAAATAAAATCGTACGTTGACAAAAATTTTATTGGAATTTGATTAAACCAAGAAATTTAAGTGTTCTTATCAAAACGCACGTGTATGTTATAGGATCTCATTACGTGCATATTATTGTTAGCCTCTAACCTCTATCTATATCGATATTTTATGATACATATTTTAAATTATTTTTAATAAAACATAATACAGAGGGGCAGATGCAAACTCCGATCACTTTCTAGTTATTGCTAACATAATTCTAACAGAACGAAAAAAGGTAAAACAAAACATCCATAGAAATAAAAACACAAAATATGACATGAAAGAATTACAAGTAAACGAGGTATTAAGGAGATATAAAGCAGACATAGAAAGAAGTCTAGACAATACACCAGTTTTAAACATGGCCAGCATAGTAGAAAAGAAATGGAATAACATAGATAATACCATAAAAACATCAACTGGGAAAAATATTAATAAGAAAAAACGCAGAAAAGAAAAGAATGGCTAGATAACGAATGTGATGAAGAAATTAAAAAAACACAAACTGAGAAAAAAATACCTACAAACAGTGAACGATACAGACGGGAAAAAATATATAAAACAAAGAAAGGCTGATAAAAATATGTGCAGAAATAAGAAAAGGCGTCACCAAGAAAAAAAAGTCGCAGAAATGTAAGAAAATTACAAAAAAAATGAACATAAACACTTCTATAAAGATGTAAAAGTATACAGAAAAAACACTTGCCAAAAAATATTTACATCAAGGCTAAGGAGGAAAATTTAATAGGGGGAAAACGCAAAGATGGAATCAATACTTCCAAAAACTACTGAACGATGACACTGAAATTCAGAAAGTAGAAGAAGAAGCAGTAGAAGAGGAAGAAGAAGCAAATGAAAGCCCTGTGTACACCGCTGAAGAACCCACCGAAGAAGAGATAATAGAAATTATTTCAAATATGAAGAACAATAAAAGCCCCGGATCAAACAAAATTACCGCAGAGAACATAAAATATGGAGGAAAACAACTAATAACACAAATAATACAAATAATCAAAGAAATATGGAAAGCGGAAGAAATGCCACTAAATTGGAGGAAAGCAGTAATACTGCCAATATATAAGAAAGGGGACCCAGCAGACTGTGGAAACTATCGAGGTATAGCTTTGCTGGACGTTACATATAAGGTACTAGCCACGTTAATAAAAAGAAGAATAGAAGTAGAAGGAGAAAAAATTATCGGAGAATACCAATGTGGCTTTAGAAAAGGCAGGTCAAAGACTGACCAAATCTTTATTTTAAAACAGGTACTCACATGTTGCTACGACCGACACATATTATGTTTATTGATTTTAAAATCGCATCTGATACAGTAAATCAACGAATATTGGTAAATGCTTTGAAAGAACTAAAAATACCTCTTAAAATTGTAAAACTGACGAACATGCCTCTTGAGAATACAAGATGTGCAATAAGAGTAGGAGGTGAGAAAACCGAAGAATTTGAAGTCCAAAACGGGCTTAGGCAGAGAGACCCATTATCCACCCTTCTTTTTAACTTAACCCTTGGGGACAAAAAGACAGAAGAAGGATAAGAAAGACGAACAAACAAAGAAATTTACGAAATATTTAACGAACCCAACATATACGAAATAATACAGTCAAAAAGGTTACAATGGTTGGGGTGCTTAGAAAGGATGGAGGACTCAAGGACAGTAAAAAGAGTAGCTTGGACAACACCAGAAGGAAAAAAAAAGAGAGGAAGGCCTAGAAGAAAATGGAGGGAAGCGATTATAGAAAACATTAAGGAAAAAAAGATCATCAACTGGAAACAAAAAACCAAGAATAGGGACGTATGGAAGAAACTAACCAGGCCATAGACCTTAACGGTCTGATTCGAGCCTTAGACACCGTGTCCCACGTAAGGCGGGCATTACAACTTTATGGAGAATAAATTAATTTGTATTTTCGCCATTTTCTGAGTATACATAATCGAATATGCTCTTTTGAATTAAAATAAAATGAACTCTGTGCAACTTTCGGTTATACCGGAAGTGACCACTAACTTCGTTAATTTAAAGGGAATACCCCATATTTTTTTTTTTAATTTTAGATTCAGCATGAAATTCTGTAAACAACGATACCCCATTTGCCTATTCTAGTTATAGCGGATTTGGCGTTATTCAATTTTTTTCTACATTTTTAGTCGCCGGTAGACATTTTCTTAAAGTCGTCTATCTCAGGTACTATATCTATCAGACACTTAAAATTTTAACCAGAGGTAGTAGATGGGATGTACTTCTTGAGAATATTTAGTTATTCATTATTTGTTGTACGGGGTGTTTGCAAATTATTTTTAAAAATGAAATTTTTTAAACATAAAAAACTTTTTTATTTTAAATTGAACACCCTATATATTTTTTAAATTTTAGATTCAGCATGAAATTCCGTAAACAATGATACCCCATTCGCCTATTCTAATTATAGTGTATTTGACGTTATTCAGTTTTTTATAAACTTTTATATGCCGGCAGACATTTGCTTTTTTAAATTTACTTGTACATCGTTTGTTCGACTGTGTGTTTGGAAATTATTTTAAAAAATAAATATTTTAAACATGAAATTTTTTTTAATTTTAAATGGAAAATCCTGTATATTTTTATTTCATTTTGTTCAGAAAATTATTCTTCATTGATCTTCATTTGCACTATTAATTCCCTATAATTATCTCTCGCCAATTTTAAGAAAATTTAAATTTAAATTTTACGCATGTACCTACATAATATAGTATAGTTTTACATTTTAATTTTTTATCTTAGTATGCCGTGGAAATATGCTAAACAACAATCTGTCAACAAACTGAATTGTCATATTTCTATGTATTTAAGTTGTGTATTTTTTGCGTTCAAAATATGGAAAATATGGAAAATATTCAAGAATATACCAACCAAGATATTCTTAATTTATTTTACATTCATGGAGAATGTAATAGAATCAAAAGTAGAACCTGCCGCATGTTTAATGAACGATACCCTCATTTACCACCAATGAACAGACAGAAATTTGATAGAATCGAAGCTAACCTTTTGAATAATTTTAAACAAAACCCGGGAAGAAACCGTCAACATTATGTCCGAGATGAAGAAGTTAATCTAATTAACGTATTAGGGTATTTTACTGCGTATCCTCACGCCTCCATTAGAATGGCTCAATATAATTTAGATATTAGTCGAGGGTCAATACAACGAATTTTAGCACTAAATAAATGGCATCCCTATGCACAAAGAAAAGTTCATGAGTTGCGAGATGGTGATCAAATAAGACGAACTGAATTATGCGAATGGTTATTGGTACGAATTCAAGAAGACCCCGAGATTTTAAACAAAATTTTGTGGTCAGACGAGTCGAAATTTACACGTAAAGGGATCATCAATCGCAAGCAATGTCATTTCTGGGCAAACGAAAATCCACATTTTTATCGTGAAGCACAATTTGAGTACGAATTTAGTTTTAATATGTTCAGTGATCGGTTTTGGAAGAGCTTTTTATTACATTTATAATGAAAGACTGACCTCAAAAAGATACATTTGAATTCTTAGAGAAGTAGTTGCCGACATTTTAAACCAGCTACCAAATAATAATTTTTGGTACCAGTTATATGGTGCCCCAGCACATTCAACATACTATGTAAATCAAGAAATTACAGCACTCATTGAAGACCGATTGATAGGTCCAAATGGTCCTTGGCTTTGGCCTGCAAGATCGCCAGATCTAACTCCTGTTAATTTTTTTTATGGGGTCATATTAAAAATTTAGTGTACTCTACCCAAATTATTAATAAAGAAGAATTAGAGCAAAGAGTTCGGAATGCCTTTAACGAGTTAGATGGTGAAATGATTCGTAAAGCAACAACTAATCATGTTGAAAAAAGATTGTTAAAATGTTTATAAGCTAACGGGGGGCATTTTGAACATTTGATAAAATGATTTTTTTAAACCATGTGCTTTTAATAAAAATTGTTTTTAGTTAGTAAACTTGATTAAAAAAATTTAAACTTTTTAAACGACATGTTTTGTTGCAGAAAACTGTAAATTTTTTTTAAAAGTACATCCCATCTACTACTTCTGGCTAAAATTTCAAGTATCCAACAGAAATAGTACCTGAGACAGTCGACTTTAAGAAAATGCCTACCGGCGCGACGACTAAAAATTAAAAAAAAAATGAATAACGCCAAATCCGCTATAATTAGAATAGGCATATATGGTATCATTGTTTACAGAATTTCATGCTGAATCCTAAATTTAAAAAATATATAGGGTGTTAACTTTAAAATAAAAAAGTTTTTTATGTTTAAAAAAATTTCATTTTTAAAAATAATTTGCAAACACCCCGTACAACAAATAATGAATAACTAAATATTCTCAAGAAGTACATCCCATCTACTACCTCTGGTTAAAATTTTAAGTATCTGATAGATATAGTACCTGAGATAGACGACTTTAAGAAAATGTCTACCGGCGACTAAAAATGTAGAAAAAAATTGAATAACGCCAAATCCGCTATAACTAGAATAGGCAAATGGGGTATCGTTGTTTACAGAATTTCATGCTGAATCTAAAATTAAAAAAAAATATGGGGTATTCCCTTTAAAATAACGAAGTTAGTGGTTACTTCCGGTATAACCGGAAGTTGCACAGAGTTCATTTTATTTTAATTCAAAAGAGCATATTCGATTATGTATAACTCAGAAAATGGCGAAAATACAAATTAATTTATTCTCCATAAAGTTGTAATGCCCGCCTTACGTGGGACACGTATATATATATATATATATATATATATATATATATATATATATATATATATATTATATATATATATATATATATATATATATATATATATATATATATTATAATTTTTTAGAAATATTTTTATTTTAGATGACAATGTTTGAAAAACTCTTTGTTTTATTGTATTTATTTTATCTCTCTATTTTTGTTTTAAAATAACGTTTAAAAAAATAATGATGTTGATATTGCTTGGGGAAGGGGTAATTATCCCCATTACCCCCCTTATCTACGCCCTTGTCTAGATGTAGTTGTAACAAAGTTCGCGAATATTAATATGAACAAACTTGTTGGAGTTCAAATCAACATTATTAAATTATCGTAATTGTAAACGAAAATTTAGATTTCTTAATTTTGCACTCTAACATAGTTGTGTAGCAAAAGCAAAATATAAACTTGAACAGATAAACCTTTGCCTCACTGTATTTTATTACATGATTACCTGTAAAATAGGTAAAATTTTGAAACTAAGGACCGTAATGAGAGAGTAAACTGAACTGAGTTGCCGCTTTACCGCCGGATGCTCATATGACAGTTGTGCATGCAGCGCTTGTTAAAACTGTTTAAAACACGGGAATTAAAGAGAAACCAAAATGAAGTAATGTAATTTCAGCGCATGTATGCCAATTATATTTTACATGCAGATGTTTCGTTCTACAGAG